CCCTAGGTCAAAAGCCCCCCCCCCTAGGTGTAAAAATTGGGGATTACAGGTATTCTGGTAACTCTTGATGGTAAGCTGCACCTTTCACCAGCAGGCCCAGCACAAGGCCAAATACCAATATGTTAGTAAGTTGAATATATGAACGGATTCTTCACCTGCAATGGTCATCAGTGATTTTTTGAATTTCAAAGCATCATCATTTGCTGACTTCTGCAAAATCTACAGTTCACCTTGTTGGTCCAATGCCTGGTGCACTTTAGATCATCAATGATCAGAAGGGTGGTCAAATTGCATACTACAATGGCTATTTAGAAGAAAATGACATGGAGAGCATCAGTGACAGTGAGGAAGAGGCAGCAGAGGGCAATTTTGAAGATGATTATTAAACAGTCCTCTTAAGGACTAATGAAACCAAATTAGTCCTATGATCACCAAGCACTATTATGAAACTTGCATCCAATTATAAAAAAGTGGTGGTGGGGGGGCTTTTGGCAGGGGGGGGGGGGGGGGGTTNCTCCAAGTTGGCCAGTCTGACGTCCATTCTCCCCAAGTTGACAGCCACTGTTTCCATGGTCTTGGTGGCTGAAGCAATGCGGCGAACAGAGTTCAACAGGGAATTCGCAGTTGTCTTTTCTCGCACATCGTGCTTCTCAAACTTCTCCTTCAACTCAGTGAGAGCCGTGTGCAATCCGATCATGGAGTCTCGAATATCCGCGTTACTGCAATGATGCAAATCAGCAGGTTTGATCATATATACGTATTTACTCGAGTACCACGCGCACCTTTTTTCTAGAAATTGAGGCAGAAAAAAAAGGGTGCGGGTGGTATACTCGGGGATAAATTTTAGGGAACAAATTCCCAAGACCAGTGCCCAGTGCCCCTCACATCCAAGTAAAAAAATATTGAAGAGGAGATGTGTGGCTCCAAGTCTCTCCCTGCATGGGGAATAATGGCTCAATTTGTTTCATCCCTTGGAAATACAACAAGAAGTAAAGGAAGAGGGTAATATTAATCTAATCGAGGAAGCTTTCCTACATTAAAAATGCATTTCAACTGCTTCTGTACATGGAAATAATAGACAGAAACACAAAAAATTGATGAGGAAAAATGAATTTAGAAATAAAAAAAGATTTAATTCTTTTGATTTTCAGCAACAAAAAACGGGGGTGCGCGTCTTATACGGAAATAGGTTTTTGAACAAATTTCTGGTGAAAAAAATGGGGGTGCGCGCCGTACTTGATGGCGCGTGGTACTTGAGTAATAATACGGTAGTCACCAACTTCATCAAAGCATAGTAGGGGTGTATACCGATATTTCAGAGACAATAACAAGTTTTACACAGGTTTCCTAACATCCATATTCTGCTTTTTTTTTTAATCTGAAAGATGAGCTCAATAAAAGAAATACATTCTGCAGATGTTCAAAGGCATGGAAAGCACCAACACTCAAAGAATTCAATTATTTATAATGAAGAATTTCTATAGGGCTCAAACATTTGGGTGGGAGAAAAATGCAGGTGATGGTTAGTTGATCAAGTTCAGGTTTCTTTGTCAATTCAAGCACATATATAATACTGTACATGATCTATGTCTTATGCATCATAATACTTCCTCAAGCTTTTATCCATGAATCACTATAACAGAAGTCATGATTATAGTATTATAATTTCCCTTTTAAATGAAACAATTGTATTGAAAAAAAAGTTGAGTGAACTGCTCAAATATTTTTTTTTCAGCTCCAGCAAACTTTCATAATATGAAATAATGGTAAAAGCTACGCTTTTAAATATTAAATATTGTCACAATAAATGACTCGAAATTCCAGCAGCAGGTACCTTTGAAAAATTCATAACAATGAAAAATCATTCACAACCAGACCACTGAATAGCATCCAAAAGTTTTTGTCTCTGAGATCAAAAATCAATTTCTTCATACCCAAGCTTCTTCAGGAATATAAAAACGGAATTAAAAATGACAATTTTCATAACAGAATGGAGCAAAAAAAAAAAGAAATTGTTTCATTATACCAGCAACAAATTTTCCAGGATATAAAAATGCTCCTGCAGATTTTTTTTCTCAGAAGTATTTGGTTACTTCATTTTTGAAGAAAAAAAACTAAATGATTGAGCAGTAAATATAAATTCAGAGTTGCTTCTTTCAAAGGTTCATCTTAAATAATTATAACTGTCAGGGGACAAATGGAAGAACTGCTTTTAAACAAATCAATTTATTGCAATGAATCTTGAAAATTCGCTGTACAAGAGAAGAAAACAGTAGAAAACTGTTTCACAGGTTATTAACTGATGAAAATGAGTCTTGGAATTTCTTTCCAGCAAGATGTTAACACCATGGTCTCCATTTCGTTTTTGGCTGGACTTCCTGTAAAATTTCGCTATAATGAATCACTTGTTATAAGACAATTTGTTACACCGGTATTCCACCTGATTATCAATTACTCAACTTCATCTTGTCCCACAGGCTTTAAAATTTAAATTTTCCTTCAAGACGAAAGAAAGATTACTCACGTGACATCAGCTGCAGGCTGCCCTAACCACCGCTGTTGAGGTTCAGCAGCTGTTTCACTTGGGAAAACCACTACAGTCAGCAGTAGTACACACAACCAACTTATGCTCAAGTGGTTCATTTTGCAGAGCAGCCTATTATAGAGAACAGGAACAATTTCCAATGAACACACATTTCTCTTTTATCATAGTGCATGCGGTATACTGTACTGTTACTGTACGACCATGGAAGGACATTGGTTCACCATCATTCACCACATTTACTCCAATGTTGGACGCACTTTGGTTCACACACAAGATGAGAAAACGTATTTAAATCAACAAAATCGTCGATTTAAAGTAATGAGGAAAATTATGCCCCCATTCCAAAGTTGGTTTCATGTATCTCCTCATGAAATGCTCACAATTCAAAGAATTGAAAAAGTTGTCTAGAATTTTGAGTTGGAAATGTGACAATGAAACCGCGGCCTCAAAACAAAATGTTGTGTTTACTAAATTGATTTAACCTGAAGAAACCCGTGAGACGAACCTTGGTTTAAAATTTTTGGTCATGATTGAGATAATTACTTGTTCAGATGAGATGCAGTCAATAGAGGCTTTTGTACACTCTCTGATCGACGTCCTATTTATGCAATCGCATTTTCGGATAATATTTTTGAAATTATGGTGATTTTTTGCATTTGTTTTCGTCTCACATTTTTATCCGCTTATTTACAGTAATTTTAGCCTTAATGTACTACAGTATAAATACAGTATAGTTTTACTCATTCAAGTCCCTAAAAAATATTTTTGAAGTTCATTGAATGTGCTTCAAGTATAACAATGCATCACCAATTATAAAGAAATTCAGAAAAAATATACTCAGGTACTTTAGACTTTAGAGCATTACTACTGTATGTATATTTTTACTTAAAATAATCCCAGAAAATTATCTATTTAAACTTCACTGAACATGCTTCAATTATGACAAGCACCAACATTTTTTTCCACAAAATTTGCATAAAAACTTTATAATGTAATATACCTGAGTCTAAACGTATACTTCTACTAAAACTGGTTCAAAAAATATTTTTTTAAACTTCACTGAATTTGGTTCAAGCATGATGGGCAGCAAAAAGATGTACACAATTGTTATTAGAAATGTATAAATCATATATTAAACAAAATATATATACTGTATATTCTTTTTCAAACTAATCCCCAAAAATTAATTCTTTAAGCTTCTAGAAATGTTTTTCAACAAACGTACACCATTTGCAAAAATGCATTAGATTAGAATGACGCTCACGTCAGCCCACCTCTATTTGAGCTTACATCTTTGTAAGAATAATGTACCTTGCAATTCAACCTCCCGCAATTCGTCGGTCGAATTTGCAGGGAGGTTGATTTGCAATTTGAACCTTGACCCGCAATTCGACCAGCTTTGGCAATTTTTTTCGTGACTATGAATTTCAGGGAGTGTCTCGCAATTCAACCGATTCGCAATTCA